CCTACAGCACATTTTGGACGGCCACTTTTCAAATTCTGGCTAAAAGCGTGATGGAAAAATAAACCAACAGTGGGACATAATGTTTAGCAAGGCTGCAAACCATTAACTAAAATACACAAGATTCTTCTGTTTGAAAAAGTCGGGCTTGTATCCATGTAGCTGCTCCTGAAGAAATGAATTGCATTTCTTCATTCAAATTTTTAAAATGGAGTTAACAGAGGCAGCATGGTCAAGTGATTAGGGCTACCATCCAGGCAATCAAAGCTGAACTGAAATAGCATGCACATTAGGCATTCTGCCCTGCCACCGCAATATTATTACAAGCTGGAGTTGAAAGGTATACCATGGATAGAGCAAATGTCTGGTATAGTATAATATTTAGTATAATTGTAATTTCTATTTTACTTTAAAAAATAAAAGCCTTGCAACATAAGAGTGGTATCATCCTGGAAGAATACATGTAGTAAGGTCTATTTTCAGGCAACAATAACTAATAATTATTAGATAATGAGCCTGAGTTTTTTATAAGTGAATAATCAACAAGCACAGTTGATTAACACTCACAGAAAAAGAGGGGGGAGTGCATTGTATTTTAATAGACACCCAAAAGGATTGCAGGCTTCAATTTACCAGTATTTTACAACCATTTTAGTCAAAAATGAAGTCTGATAATTTTTCCATTTAAGCACAATTATGCTTGTGCTATCATGTCCTATCAGCAAAAGGACAATTATCAGATAATCATTGATTCCAAGATATAATCATACCGGTAATAATCATCAATTCCCAGATTTTCAATACAATACTTTCAGTGTCCTTATAACATAATATATTTTTATACAGTTACCTTTAGTAAATGCTATGCTAAATAAAATGTTATGCATTAGCAGTTGGGAAGAACCATGTTATCATTGTTTCTCAGGGAGAGGTGGTGCACTTGGCTCTGGTCCTGCACTATAGGGTGGGGGTGCATAGTTTGGATATCCACCTGGTGGGGGAGCAGCAGCTTGCCCCTGAGGAGGATAATATCCTGCCGCCTGTCCTGCCATAGGATACTGTCCCCCAGGGGGAGGAGCATATGGGGCTGGGGGAGGACCATAGTAATTGGGCATTCCCTGGGGGATGGCTGATGGGTTAACCCCCTGAGGCTGGCCTTGCAGGACACGCCTCTGAAAGAAAAATAACACTTTAAACGTCATGTTTCCAAGGCCTATTTTTGTGACTTCTGGAGTTTCCAACATGCATGCCAGTTCCCAGCCTCTATGCCCCATTTCTGTTATCATTGGTGTCCAGTCTCCTTTGGCCTTGGTCTCGAAGAACCCCAACTGCGGACAAAAGTAGTGTATTTGCGTGTTTAGATGCTTGTATTAGTACTGGGTATGGCCCTATTAAGATTATAGCATGCAGAAAACTGTTGAGCAACCAAGGAATGTACTCCCTGCAAGCTGTATAGAGGTGCACCACTAACCAAAGGATGGAACAGGGTACATCAAGCAGTCCAAGTTAGGTGTGTGCAACACAAATTTTTTTTTTTCAAAATTAAAATTTTGATAGTTACGAAGTCTATGTGTTTGGAGAGTTATATTACTACCTTCACAGTGTGTTGGTACTCAATGATGGTTCCTTGATATGTTGGGAATGGGTCCTTCAGTTTTGTAGATTCTTTCTCGAAAAACCACACTGAATTATGGTCTCCAGAGAGGGAAAACTCTAGTGAAGAAGGAAGTAAAAAAATGCCAGTAAATCTGAGTTCTACCTTAAGTCAGTAAATAGATCATTAAATACAGGCCATAATATTAGAAACTCAAGTCTAGAATGACTAGAATTCCTGAGAGTTGAATAACAGAAATATGGATCTTTTTTTCAGTTTTTGGGGGGGAGAGGTGCTTCAAATATTTTTCAGTCATAATATCAGTGTTTTATGTTGCAGAACTGTTAAGTTTAGAGAATGCTCTGACAATAAATTTGACAACTGTACAGCTTATTTCTAGCCCTTGACGATGCAAAGGCCCATGTTGTTAAAAGGGCAGACAATGCTATCAGGCTGAGCTTATAAGTAGATACACACCTTTTGAGCAACCAAGACCAGGATTATCTAGAACTCAAATAAATATAATTATACCTCCATGACTCCTTTTTCCCTGGTCCCAAAATATGTCTACCAATTTCCATCCTTGATGCAAATGCTGAGTAAAGTTCGCCATCCAGTCACATGTGACTTTCACCAGCTTTCCTGGGCCAAGATACATGACTTGCACAGGAACATTAACAAGCTGGTATGTAAACAGTGTAGGGTTTGGGTGGAGTGGCATGTTGAAGAACACATCACAGCCAAATACTATAACAAGAAACAACATGAGACCTAGTTACTGAAGAGCTACCTTTTAGTTAGTTTTAGCAAGTTAATCCAGTTTACCAATTAGTAAGCTTGTTGCTAAGGAGTTATGTCCTAAGCCCTGATCAGGATCATTTCACACTTCATTCTCACATTGTGTAGTTCCAGAAAATATCCAAACCTCCTCCGTGGAAGAGATTTTTCTAAGACCCTCTGGAAATTCCAATGAAGTTTCGTACATTTCTTTCAATTTATTGGTCTTACAGAGCCACCCACTTCCCCCANTCTTTAAAGAAATCTCACAGCCAGAATCCAGCCTGGTCATAACTTGAGAACTTCAAAAACAAGTCATCAAGCCTTTTCTACTTTTAGCTGTATCTTTTAGGGGTCAAATAAAGTTTAGGTCAAGCCCAGATTGGTTTCCTTTAGGAGTTTAAATCACATTTTCCGATAAGCATCCCTGATCTTTTCATATGGGAGTTCCCCCCCTGGGACTTCTGTTTACCTGAAGACCACCTTGTCACATAATGTGCAGTTCCAAAAAATATCCATACTCCCCCCCACAGAAGGGATTGGAATTTCCTGGGGGGTGGGGGGTTCTGGAAGACCAAAAAATTGAAAGAAATGTATGAAGCTTAACTGGAATTTCCAGCGGGGCGGGGAGGTGTTAGAAAAAAATCCCTTCCCTGTGGAAGGTATGGATATTTTCTGGAACTACACAATAGGAAACAGTAAAAAATTGCCAAAATACAAGTTACATTTAATTTTATTTCTTTTGTTATTCCCATACCCTTGGGGTCTTGAGAAGATTCCTTGATATGGTGTTTCATTTGAATTCCATCCTATCTTGCCAACTCCTGGCATGGCCTTGAATGTTTCAAGAATAAAGCCTTGCTGGTAAGGTTCACCAAGCTTGTTATACTTGCTGGTAACATCTGAAGCAATAGTTGTCTGTCCGGTGACCAGGCCAAAAGTGGCTGTAATGTGTGTAACATTATCCTTTAGTACTATAATATTACACTCAGATCTATCATGAATGCAAATGCCATTCACCAAAAAAGAAGTATATGACTTTTAAAATAACTCAAAAAACCTTTGAATGCTCACAAGTCCAAGAGCTGTTGGTGGTCAATGAAAGTGTAGGCCATAGAAATGACATACTCTAACCTCTTATTACAACAGAAGGGAACTTTCTGAAGACTATCTAGAGCCTGGGGACATTGGGGACATTGTTGGAAAAACATGAGAGCTTCAAGAGGAAAATTAGTATCTCTCTAGAAATTCACAGTCACATGTATTTCTCCATGGTCCAGACTAGCTTATTCTTACAATACACTTCTAATATCCAGCTGACACTGTGGTAAGATAAAGCAGGCACTAGGTGAAGTCTACACTCAAGCTGCAATGACCAGCCACGAATGAATCTAAACATACACTAATTTATTCAGTAAAGAGCGAATACATCACATGATCATAGAGAAATGCCAATCACAACATTCCTCCCCTCTAGAATTACAGGTTATTCATACATAAACTCCTCATGTAAATTAGAACAACTAAATCAAAACTATTTGACTATGAATGTCCTCTATTTCAACCACAGTCCCTGTGATCAAGTCACGATTCACACAGGTAGTCTTTCAGGTATCCAGGTCTGGCCGTTTTCTGCACAGGGCATGTCGCCAGAGGACTCGTTTTAACGGGTGTCTGAGTAGGTGCTGCCGGTGGAGACTTAGGAACCTCAAGATGGTCGCTAACACCAGGGGTGGGTGGTGTTGCATCACATTCAGGCAACACCACTGGTGTCACGCTGGGTGTCACACTTGTAACTGGCTCCTCCGCCACATCATTCTCACGGCTTCGCACATGGTCTTGGTGCCACCAAATGACTGTCCCATTGTCCAGCTGAACTCAAGCTGACACTGGACCAGTTTTCTCCACGACAGTCCTGGCATCCAGGCCTTCTTGTTCCAGAAATCCTTAGCATAAACAGCCTGGCCCTCTAGAATCTCCCTCTCCTTAGCATGGTAANTTGGAAAAACATGAGAGCTTCAAGAGGAAAATTATTATCTCTCTAGAAATTCACAGTCACATGTATTTCTCCATGGTCCAGACTAGCTTATTCTTACAATACACTTCTAATATCCAGCTGGCACTGTGGTAAGATAAAGCACATACTAGGTAAAGTCTACACTCAAGCTGTAATGACCAGCCACGAGTGAATCCAAACATACACTAATTTATTCAGTAAATAGCGAATACATCACGTGATCATAGAGAAATACCAATCACAACATTCCTCCCCTCTAGAATTACAGGTTATTCATCCATAAACTCCTCATGTAAATTGGAACAACTAAATCAAAAACTATTTGTCCTCTATTTCAACCACAGTCCCTGTGATCAAGTCACGATTCACACAGGTATTTCAGGTATCCAGGTCTGGCCATTTTCTGCACAGGGCATGTCGCCAGAGGACTCATTTTAACGGGTGTCTGAGTAGGTGCTGCCGGTGGAGACTTAGGAACCTCAAGATGGTTGCTAACACCAGGGGTGGGTGGTGTTGCATCACATTCAGGCAAGACCACTGGTGTCATGCTGGGTGTCACACTTGTAACTGGCTCCTCTGCCACATCATTCTCACGGCTTCGAACATGGTCTTGGTGCTGCCAAATGACTGTCCCAGTGTCCAGCTGAACTCAAGCTGACACTGGACCAGTTTTCTCCACGACAGTCCTGGCATCCAGGTCTTCTTGTTCCAGAAATCCTTAGCATAAACAGCCTGGCCCTCTAGAATCTCCCTCTCCTTAGCATGGTAATCGTGTGCTGCCTTCTGCTGGGACTGCTTATTCCTAACGTGATTTGCTATGCTTGGAACAAGCTGATTCAGCTGTGTGTGCAATCTCCGTTTCATGAATACTTCTGCTGGCGGCACTCCAGTCATACTATGAGAGGTGGTGCAGTAACTAAGGAGGAATCGTGATAACTTTGTTTGGACACTTCCATCCTCCATCTTTTCATAGCCTTCTTTTTTGCCAAACATAGCTTTAAATCCTGCTGTAAAGAACCCACTAAGCACTGCTTCTAGGTTGGCTAGATGATCGGGGTCATCCTTGCTGCTGACTAAGATGTCATCAACTCGCACGACAACATGGGGGATGCCTTGCAATAAATTCTCCATTGTACGTTGGAAAATTCCCAGTGCTGACGAAACCGCAAAGGGCAGTCTATTTATATTGATAGAGTCCCTTGTGAGTGTTGATTGTAGTGAATTTCTTCGATTCCTCATCCAATAATAACTGTAGGTATGCCTGTGACATATTCAGCTTGGTGAATTTATTTCCTCCACCTAGTGTGGCAAGCAAGTCCTCAGTCTTGGGGATTGGATTAGTGGATAATTATCCAACTTTGAGACTTGGTTGACGGTACACCTGTAGTCGCCACAAATATGCACTGATCCGTCTTGTTTCACCTCTGGAACTATAGGTGCTGCCCACTCTGTGAACACTACTGGAGATATTATGCCTTCGCTCTGCAATCGATCCAGTTCCTTTTCGACTTTCGTTTTGAGTGCATACGGTACAGGACGAGCCTTCATGAACTTGGGTAGAGCACTTGGGTCAACATAGACTTTGGCTTCTGTGCCCTTCAGTGTACCCAGTCCTTTGCCAAAAATGTCCTTGTGTGCATCTAGGATCTTCTGCAGCTGAGGGTTGCCCTCCTGGATGTTGAAAATACTGTTCCAGTTAAGCTTAATCACTTGAAGCCAGTCCCTTCCAAGTAAATTGGATCCAGGACTCTTCACCAACATGGTTAGCAAATTATGCTGTTGATTCTGGTAGTTGACAGGAATCAGTATTTCACCCGACACTAGTATTTTCTCTCCTGTGTACGTGCTTAATGCGGGCTTCGAACTCTTCAATTCCAATTTGTCATGTAACTTGTTGTACGTTTCTTCATCCAACACGGTTCTGGTCACACCAGTGTCTATCTCCAATTTGTGTGGTTCACCACAAAGTTCCACAGTCACTTCAAATGCCTTGGGTTTGCTTTGTCTGCGGATGTGGTACATTGTTGCTGCATAAACACCTTCTTCCCTGGGAACTTCGTCCACTAAATATGTAGGCTGCTTCTTCTTCCCCTTTGCTGGCTTGCTGTCTCCTGAAACGCTTTGTTGACCTTCCCGCATTCCGGAATCAGTTCCTTTGCCCGTCTTTTTCTTCTGCCTTTTCTCGCCACGACACACTTTGCCTAAGTGCCCTTGTTGTCCACATTTAAAACACTGAGCATCTCTAAATTGACAGGCTGAAGCTTCATGTTTCTCCCTTCAACAGTAACACTATGAATCTGGACAACAATCTTTAATTCTGTTCTTGTCTTGAGCGTCAACCTGATTAACGCTGCTGGGGGTCGTGTCGGACTGAATATCAATCATGTGCTTCGCTGCTAACTCTTCTCCCAAAGCAATCTCCTTGGCCTTCTTGAGTGTCAACTCTCATTCCGCCAGTAATCACTGCTGGATTTTCTTATTGTTTATACCACAGACCAACCGATCTCGTAGCATTTCTGGTAACGTCTCGCCAAAATTACAATGGTCGGTTAGCTCACGCAATTCTGCCATGTATGCCGCAACTCCTTCATCTTCGTTTCGATTTCAGCTATGAAATTTATAACGCTCCACTATCTCACTTGGCTTCGGTGAAAAGTGCTTCTCAAGTGTGCTGACAATCTTCTTAAAAGTTGTCTCCGCAGGCTTTGCTGGTTGAAGTGCGTATGTTTTACTTCCGCAAACACTGAGTAGAATTGCTTGGCGTTTCGCCACATCTCCACTTCATTCGCTAGGAAATACTGTTCTAGCCGCTCTACATACTGGGTCCATGATTCTTCTGATTCTTTGAATTTGCCTATTTTTCCATAGGTCACCATTCCTGTACGAATCTAGAATGAAATGTCTCGTCACCAAATGTAATAAACAGCCACGAGTGAATCCAAACATACACTAA